TTTTTCTTTAATACCACGAGACTCCCCTCCCTGATAGAAATAATTGTTCTGTGTTCTACGCGGGTTCTCCATTGCATGCGAAGCAATGACCGACTTCACGAAGACTTCAGAAGGTCGTTGAGGCGACGTTCAACTCCAATGTATCTTAGGAGGAACCATTGCAAATCATTTTTCTTAGCTCTTGTTTCCTCTAAGCTTTGAGGTATCTACAACATCACTGGAAGAGCTAGAGCAGCTTAGGTCCACGTATTCCAATAGAGTTAAAGCGTTTGTTATTTTTGGTACAAACAACGGTCGTAGTTCATTCTTTGTCGCATTTTCGGCAATATGCCGCAAGCGTGCTCGACGATTTGACGTTATGTAACAGGCTAGAACTAGAGCTAGAACGGTGACTGGGGTTTTTCGTGTAATGTCTTGATAGCGACTGTTTATGTCGAAACGACTCAAAACAAAATTCCATCGTGAAAAAAGATCGACTAAATTCCCTTCTGAAAAACACGTGTGTATTTAAGGTGTTTCATATGAGCATTCAATTCTTAAAGGTTTAATTCTATAATCGTTTTGTTTAGTTATGTAAATAAATTTAACACGACTTGTACTGTTTGTCTGAGTGAAAGGCGAGCTGCGGGTTTTCTCTTTCCTTTATTTACACTTTCAAATATAACCGCTTAACAAAAATGCACGGGCTCACTGGCTTAGTACCTTGGCGAATTCATAAGCAGGCCTGGTCGCAAGTCAATCACCCAGTAAGCATGATAAGTAGGATTTATCTTTCAAGAATTATTTATTCATGACTTCTGTGGATACAGGAACTTTTTMAAATCTGACAACGTATATTCAATAAGGTAGACTCAATATAACATCTAATTTAAGTAGAGAAACAACTTATTCCAAGTTACCCACTGCAACTGAAGGCTTTATTCCGAGCACTCTGAATCTGAAATGTTCACATCAGCTTTAAATAGAGTTTGTTTGMCACCCTCAAAAAAATGTTTGACTCCCGAGAACTGCATCACCTGCAAAAAATAATATACTGTGAAGATGTTCTCTATTCTCGGGATTTCGTTTTCGTTTTTCATCGACTCGTTGATGCATTCTTGTAATATTTCAGTGATAGGACTAAACTTGCTAGTCAGAGCTTTACTGTGGTCTCTTGTTAGACTAGTGTACATAAAATCCGGACTTTGTATTTCGATTTTGCTCCCATCTGGTAAACAGAAATTCATAGACAGTKSAAACCAGGATGGATAACTTGCTCCATCRCCTTGTATTCCGCCATCTATCTTTAGCAGTGATCCCCCTTTCATCCTAAAATGCGCCTTGTTGCCAACGTACTTATCAGCGACAGCAGCCGAAGAGTAGTTTCCTAAGAAGAGAGTTGTTCTGTTGACCAAGTCAAGCATCATCTTCTTGGGAGCCTTTTTGAGATCGTAGTCGAAGCCTACTACAGAAAAACGCTCAACATCTTCGCGTAGCTGTCTCAGTATGGCTGTCCGAGACTTTTGAACCAGGATTTCAACAGCGCGAGCGATTGCTCTTGCAGAGTGAGACTCCTCTTTTCCATTCAACCATTTCTCAATTGGTTTTCTCATATTTCGTGACTTGTTTTGACGATAAAGYTCTAAAACTGGTTGGAGGGATTCCATGGTTGGTTTTGTGTTCTTGGCTTCGTCTTTGAAGTAAATCCTCTSCTCTTCCTCCAAACGAAGGWMGCGAAAGCACATCCAAACAAAGAATTTATCAGTTATTGGTGGTACTGTATCACCTAGCTCGTTCTGAAGAAGGTCAATYACTGGTTTCATTGGCTCTACGACTGCTCGCATTTCTTCCTCATCCCAATAATGATAATCCTCAGGAATAATCCTAGAAACTTCGTTTTTAATCTCTAAATCACCACAAGAAATTTTGAAGTTCGTTTCCCGGTCGTAGTTCCATATGTAGTCAACGAAGTGGGATGTAATAATCGACAAATCTTGGTCGCATTTAGGTAAATGAAAGGTTTGTGTATCGTATTTCGTTGAGCATGTTTCTCTCGGCCCTTCTTCGCGTCTAACTGAGCTCGAACTTTTGAGCCAGGAAAAATACTTGGCAGCGACAGGGCCGCACGATTTCCACACATCAAGGATCCTGTTGAAGGAAACTTGATCAATGGAGCATTGCTCGGCTCCCTCAAGTAGAGAAATGAGCTCTCGTCTTCCYTCGTATCGGCGGTGCTCGCATTTGTAAACAACGAATTGTCTAGTATAGAACTCGGCTTTTCTCTTGAGGACATTGATGTGACAGTTTCTTTCACTTCCAGCAAGTTGGTTGAACCGTTTACATGTCAAAGAGAAGCTGTAAAACGAGCTAAAATCGATTAAATATGACAAAATGCTGCACAAACAATCAGCATTTAGCGAAAGAATCGACAGTGAATCCATCTTGAAACAAACAGGAAAGAACTTAATTTATACAACGCCAACGGAGAAGTGATCCGTAAACTTTAATTTACAATCAGGCGTTCCTTGTAAATATACAGGTAACCCAAAACTATATGTATTTGTAGAACAAAACCCGAAGTTTAGACCATACGCTACGTTTAGAAAAGGCTTTTTACATCAGCTAAACTTCGCTTTTATTCTGCACAAGACGATGCTACTGAAGGAAAACTTCACTACTTTAAAATACTTTTTTGTATTGTATTACCAGGGCTTTTCCAGAATTACTTGAAGTCTGGAGTTTATCCACAAATTCTGAATGGAAATGAAAAAAATCAGCTAAGCAATATCATTCCACCAGACATTTTCTGAATTGTTTGACAAAAGGAAACCGCCCTTCATGATCCTTCATGATGTCATGTTCCTTTAGCTGAGCTACAAGGCCAGACTGGGAGCAGGTCGGGGTGAAATAGATGTTAGGTTGCGGTAATTGAATAATGTAAAGATATGAATATATGAGGACCGCATGGCACTATGATAGAACAGATATAGAAATGAAAGAAAGTTATAGTGCTTAGAATTAAGTGCTTTAAATTAAAAATGAATTAAAATAGGTTTTCCGAGGATGACCTCAAAAGCTYACGGGTTGTTAGCAATGGAATCGAGGATGGACGTGACTATCTGATCTAGTGCGCCAGAAGAAACCGATATTTCGAATTGAATAACTAACCATGTTAACTTGTCAGATGCAGTTCGTATGTAGTGGTCACGCACATTGTATGTCCCCTGAGCAGAGGATTTTTTGGACCCACTTCTTCTTTTTCCTTTTCTTCGTAGAAGGGAGAGGGAAGTTCCTCTGCTCGCAGGGTACACATCATACCTTCCGTTGCAGACATTGAAAGCCCATTGAGTCTTCAGTGCCTACTTATACCCATAAGTCATAATGGGTTTATTTTCTGTCTGGGGACAACAAGGCCGTGGGGACCATGACTTCATCATGGCACTATGATAGAACACATATAGAAAGCCGTAAGTTTCGTTGTTCGTTGTATTTTCATTTCACATTTTAATTCTTAGAAACAAAAGTTATTTTTCCAACAGGGTTTGAATTGGGTGGTAAGACATGTCAATCAGATTATATAAGTCTTTTAAAGTTTGTTAAGGGCAAAGGAATTACAAATTCTAATTAATTACGACGGGTATAGTCATCATTTGTTTGTTTAGSTCGTTAGGCCGTACTCTCATACAAGACTTCGACATCACTTGGTTTGAACCTCCAGTCATTAGCATAGAAGTAATGACAAATATAGTATGGACAGATACCGGCAAAACAGCCAGGGGGTGCTTGGTAGGAACATCCAGGAGATGAGGAAGACTTCCAGTTACTCGATGCATTGTTTGAGATATGAAGGTCATACGAAGAAATAAAACAGCCAAATGTTGGTCCAWMCGTAGCACGACCAAGAATAGCATRTTTGTTATATCTTCCTTTCAGGTTCAGCTTCACGGGCTGATATCCCTTGATGTTGTACAGCGAGTACAGGAACGGCTGATTTGAAGAAGAACAGCCACTATTCTCTAAAACAAACAATTGCACATTATTTATCACTGATTGACAATCTCCATCTTTTAGTCCTGGGGCGATGGGACAGTTGTAGGAAAACGGTTATCGCCGTTATGTGAGTCCTCCCTAACGGCGTCTGAGGGAGAGACCTGGGAACGAGCTACAGTAAGACACAACTACTTGACGAGACTGAGGATTCCGAGAGAAGTGAGTAGTCTCTATATCTTTGAAAACCACAGGATACATAGATCAGCGGGAGTTCAATGATATAATGTACTTTTTCTCCATATGTTAGATCACGTGTCCCTGAGGCGTTTTGAATTAACAGYAGTTTTTAATATCCAACAATTAAAAACAAACTTATGCTGTAGGGTTAAGATCAATATTGAATTTACAGGAATAATTAGGAAATGTTCAAATATCATTACTATCGTATTTTTATAACCAATGAGTTTAGTTAAAGCTTATAACGCAGTTTAAATTTATTCGCGTGATCAATACGTGATCAAGTTCGTCTTGAGTTGGGAAATTTCTCCTCAGTAAAAACCTTCCATTCTTCTTTTTGCTGTTTATTCTTCGTTTGTTTATTTAAAAAAATAATTTTTCACATTGTATTAATGTTTTTTTGACCGAGAGAAAATGCTTCAGTTCGGAGCTATGGGGTAGTAACTTTTGAAAACCAGCCATWAGGTCACTCCCATCAAAACGCACAAAATCTTAAATATAGGGGGTGGTATTTACACWWTGTTAGCATAACCAAGGAAGTGCAGCTAGTGCAACATGTTCATATGTCACCACAGATTTCATATATCTTGTCGAACTTTGATTATCAAAGGTAGTCACGTGACTATGCTCAGCTTAAAACCCCCGGGAAATTGAAACTAAGACACTAACCCTAGCTCTAAATCTCAACTCTAAGCTTAATTATCTTAACCCTAATCCTGACACCGMAAACCTAACCCAAATGTCAAACCTAACCCTAAGCTTCAAAAAACATAATCAAAACCGTGTATCACGTGACCCTCATTTCTGAGTTTAACTTATTGACGTCCGTGGATATTTTGTTGATTTTCAAGCATTTTTCGAACCATTAGAAATTATTTTGACCTCCATATATGGAGCTGTCAATCAAACTTTTGTTGAATCAAATTCCCAAGGGAATGTACATTTCGAAAATGCGAAAATGCGAAAATTAGACGAGACCCAAATAATAACTTGATACTAAGTATAATTGATTATTATAATAATATTTTTTTAAGAATATTTTTGGGGTTCAGTCTAATTTTGTAAAACGTATATCAAACTATGTAACAAGCAATAATAGTTAGTTGATCCAAAGCAGAAGACAGTGCGTAAAACAAACTAAGAATAAAAACCAAAAAAGAAGAATTAAAGGTTTTCAYTAGCTGCAGCGATGGTCCCTTGTGGTCCAACAATATTATGAAAATCCAGTCATTGTAGTTACAAATATCATCTCCTACTTACTGTTCCAAGATACGTCAGTGTAGCCCCCGARAACGTATTGGTTGACGCGAACAATTGTAACCGAAGGTCCACGACCGTCGCATTTCGGGTGAAATTGTTTTTCAACGTCCCATCCATCTGACTTGGCATGCCAGCACAGGTTCCAATGGCTTGTACCGCGATCTTGCAATACAGGATCTAGATATGTTGTTAGGACCTGCAGATAGCTGTCATTACCATAGTTAGAAAGAATGGAGGATTTCTCGAGTCCTCCTGAAATACAATCAATATATAAACCATTGATCATAACATTTGATAGTAACAGTATTCTATAACCAGATACTTACTGGTAGCAATGCAAACTTGTCCGTTCCCAAGATACCCTGGCTTGCATGTACACATAAAGGACCCTTTGGTGTTGTTGCAAACTGCATTTGAGTCACAACTGTGTGAGCTTGCAGCGCATTCATTGATATCTGAAAACAAGTGATATTAAGGAACTGCGCAATAACCATTAGGGGGGAGGGGGAGGGGGGGTCAGAAATGAGTAGAAAGAACTAAAAAGGTAATGACGTCTCCCGACCCACATGAAAAAATTTATGCCATGCCCCCATGCATATCATAATTGAAAATTATTGGTGCACTCAGCATCAACGTGACAGGTTTGAGGATCAGAGCACTCGTTGATATCTGACAACAACACAAAGTTTACATTACTAGGAGVATCGATGTTCTTATACAGGAGTGACGTTGCATGTATATTATTTTGGTTCTTTGCGGATTTTTTGTTGGCGTATAATACATGAGGCGACAGCTCWTTTGGTCAAAAGAAATCCAAAGTTAAACTTTTTACACATTATTTATTGGTTGTCCTAGTAAACAATATGACGCCAACACAAATATACAGAATAAAAACCAAACAAACTGGTAGTTATGGTTCTCACCGGATTTACAGTTCTGTCCTTTAAAACCTGCTGCGCATGTGCAAGTATATCCTGTTGGTGACGTAACGGTGCACGTTCCTCCATTGAAGCAAGAATATTTGCACGGGTCCTGCAATCAGAAGCATAAATGTCATTTTCATTGTGGTATTGCTATGTTTTGTTTATTACTAAGCCAAACGACCGAAAAATAAACAATTTACTTTTCCGAGAACAAAGTAGGCACACAAGTAGATTAGAATTGCGTGAAACTTAAACATCTGCATGCGATCGAATATTTAATCAGTCAGTTTTCAAGGTGGTCCCTTAATAAAGGTGAAAAACAATGTAAGCTTTTAAAAATCAGGACTTCAATATGGAGACCGCGTCCGCTTAATAGAGGTGTTACCGCATTATAGGGGTATAATTTACAGTAAACATGAGAAAAAATTCGGGACGTGTTGACCGTTGAATAGTGGTCCGACCATAACCCCGCTACAATGTATAACTAAATATATTTTCAATAACAGAAATGTTGTCTACGAGAAATTTTAGCTTCAATACTTACAATCATGTCAATGTGGTCGTAGTCGTCTCTCTTTTCCARSATGGTGTCCGAATCACGCTTTGACTTYGATAAAAGCTCACATTTGATCTTGTGTCCATCGGTTCTTTTCTGTACGTTGACAGAGCGACAGGAGTCTGTCCTGGAGCAAATCATTGTACACTCCAGCTTGCTGCTWACTTTCTTGCTTTTGATTAAAATTTTTGACTTTTTGCAAGAAAGTCTTTTAYTTTGAAAGATCTCAGACTGTCCACTGATTGTCTGACCAACAACGCTATAACTCAGACAGGAAAGCAAAACGGCGACCGCAAAGATCTGAAGATTCGACATTGCGGGATGCTTAAATGGAGCTCAGAACTTTATGGGCGCCTGATAAATTACTTTCTGGGCTTGTATACTGGTTTTATTGAAAGAAAGTCGACAGCAAGATCATATTAATGAAAAGTTTAAATTGAATTTATATGCTAGTGTTTTTGCATTGAATCTTTTTAAAAAGATGTCAAAAATAAAGACCAACGGATGCACAAAGTCATTACACTACACTATTAAAAGATTGAAGGTAGCTTAACATTAAAAAAAGCCGAATAAAAGAACAAGTATATTTCACCGTTAAAAAGAAAGAAAGAAAAAAACGATATGTTTAGAAGTGCTTGACTCAAGAATCGAACCAGAAGTACATAACCAGAATGGTTATGTACTTCTGATCGAACCCAAGATCAGTTTGACGCCGCTATTCGAGAACGATCTTGWAAAATAGTAAAAAAAACCCGGCTCGTGATAATAAGACATCTCCGAGTTTAGTCAGTTTTTGCGTATTTAATTCGACGTTTGGTCCTCGGGAAGGCACGGTAAGGCATTGATAAGCCAATTCAATGGATCATCTTTCATGGACGTTCACGAAATTGTTGGCTATTATTTTAAAATAGAGCAAAATCGATGCTCAAATCCTGGAATASATTTTTGTCATATTAAAAATAAGAATTTTGTTCAGATGTTTGCTGTCATTTTAGCTTATAAGCTTAAATGTAGTCTCCTCTCGCAGCCGTTAGGACGTTCGTTCCCAGGTCACCTGGGAACGAATGTCCTAACGGCTGCGAGAGGAGACTAGCTTAAATGTAAAATTTTTGGATTTATGTAAGTCAGTGCTCAACTAATATATCTTAATCTGAGTAGTATATTCGATGGATCTTGATGGGGATCCAAGCATCATAAAAATAACTGCATATGAGCTTACATATTAAGCTTACTTGCAAAATAATCAAAATATTGATTAAGACTTTTTTGTGTTTTTGAAGGAACATCAAAAAATTATACTGTATATTCCAACTGAAGAGGACATCGACGAGAAAATAAGAAATATTGGTCTATGCGAGGCACTAATTAAATTCACAGAGTAAGCTCAACATGTATTTAATGTGATTTTGGTCCATATAATACTATGTTTGTAGTATTTATCTACGTTTAGGATATGAGAGGGGACATCACAAAAGGGGTCTTGTGTCTAGYGGGAAAATCCAGTCTTCCAAAAGAGGCAATTAATGGCTGGCTGCATCAAAAGGATCTTAATAGACTCACTGAACCTTTTACGTCACTACTTGATTTTCAATGCATTGTGGGATCAGTTTCAAGAGAAAACAAAAGAAATCCGCCATGTTCTGTCCCAAACATGTCCTACAATGCATTGCGTATACGGTGCATGACGTAAAAGCTGCAGAGGTCTATTCTTTAGCCTCCTTTTGTGCTGTCCCTTTCACTTCTCATCATTGTCCTGACTCCAAGCAAGGTCATCAATCAACGTCAGCTTTTTTGATCAGTAATTTTCGGCTTTTATCAATTGTGCTCATCGGTATGATAAATTAGCAGCATTCTAAAGAAAGAATTCAAACAATGATTATGCAAATCTTACTGTGTGAGCACAACATACAAAACACAAATCGAGCTAATTTTCTTCATATTTCCCATTTTTTAGAATAATTTCAGCAATGCATATTGAAAGTATATTAAAAGTACGTTTCAAATCAGTTGGATTTTGTGTGGCTTTCGTGATTAGATTTCACAAAATATGCATTCACTGAACTATTGCGACAAATTGTTAACAGACAGCGTAACTACATTTTTATAGTTTTCAATAGCTCAAATGATGACATACTTTTGTGACAACCGTTTATGTCCTTTCTCTTTGGATTTGATTTCGTAATGCGTGAAATTTGTGGAAGTTAAGAATTCCTCAAATTCTTTTGAACTCCCAGTAAAAACACCGGTACAGTAGTTCTCAACTACGTTGACTTCGTTTAGATTTTCTTTTAGGTAAGCGATTTCTTCGTTAAGTAATGGTTTTGATTGATCACAACCAAGGAAATTGTTGCGGTCTGACATCGTCGCATTACAACAAGGAGTATTTATTTCGCAACTACATTTTCCCGCTGAAGCGCAGAGTACTATCTCACTAATTACATAAAGTATATACAAAAGAATGCATTTTGAACGGCACTGATCGTTCACAATTTTCGAGTTTTATACAAGATGAAACTGTTTGATTTTATTTTTTACTGAATTTTCTTGAGAAAATCAAATAAAAACGTACCAGAAAGAATAAATAACCAAGTCTGCACTCACGGGTTTATCGTGTTACATGTCAAGACCGGAAGTCATTGTTATTCTAGATTCCAGTCTCTGCTCAAACATTTTGTGTACCATCTCCGCCCGCGTTATAGTCGGACCAAATGGACATATTTTCAGTTGGATAAATTTTAAAGGACGTTTACACGATCTCAAAATTTGTGAGAGTTAAATAATATTTGAGGTATTAACTGTTGAGAACATAGGTCCTCGTCCATTATTTAGTATTATAAGGGAATATTTAGTAGCAAACAAATAGAGCGCTATGACATGCTATGACAAAGTCGACGGTATCGTGTATAAATTGATCCAAAAATCAAAGTTCCCCATTTTTWAAAACATATAGAGCACAATATTCCTAGTAAGAAAGGGTAACTCTTCCTTTTGCAACAAAGAAAAGTGTGGCGGTCGAGTACAGCTTTAGATATAATTGACCAATTATAWTCGGTTAACAACAAATTTCGCTAAAATCGCCAAGMTTCCGACAAAATATTACTGTCAATATAAGGCTTTGATGACATTAATAACACGATAATTTAACACTGTATAGCATATAGATTATTCACTATA